TTTTCTGTGTTTGTGAGGACTATTTATACCTTAAAAACTCATCATTGCTGACAGCGTAGCTAGTAAAGTAATGATCTTATTCTTTACTGCTCGGGACCCCGAGCAACTAATGCTTTCTCTTCGATTTGTCAAACGTTTAATGATCTTCTCTCGGCGGAAGTGTATTAAATGTCAAGGTTTTGAGATATTTATTACCTTTCACTTCCGAACTCTCATGCATTAAATGTTCTCTCATCAAGGGAATGGTGCATTAAATACTTACTTTCCCAAATCGTGAGTCAGCAAGGGTATTCTGGTCTTTTTGTCTCTGATCTGACACAATACGTCACATGCTCATTTCTCTTTGGTTGAGTCTTTTGCTTTCTTGTGCCTCCTGACACCATTTAAGTAAAACGAGGTCATGATGGCTAGTTTAGCCTTGCCTAGGCTAGTGATTTGCCCATCAATAACCCCTACAGGTGCAGAAACGCCGATGCGGACACATAACCCCTCGGTGCCAAGGGACTAGCATGATTTAGGACTGATGTACCCAAACTGCCGAGGAATACGTATCGGTCTACAGTGGTTTGGGGATCCTTAATCCTTGTGAATAACATCCTCAGGACAGGAGTTTGGAAACCGAAGAAGACATGTCAGTATTAAAGCCAGTGTCTCTATTGACGCCGAGTAAACGTGTCATCATCTGAGAGTGTCTGAAAATGTCCCATCACAAAATGAGCCAAGGACAACAATATTTGCTCAATGTGTAAAGGAGAAACACCACGACATAAATTCTATTTGACTTTTTTGTTCACGTAAGCATGGCTCAGACACAGATATTTTTGGTACCCAATCATATTATCACAAACAACCGAAAACAAGTTGTAAAATAGATCAGGGACTATACCTTTAAAATTGACAATAAAATGAACTAAATACACAATAAAAGTTATTTTGCTTGATCATGTTTGAGAGGTGAAACTATAATCTTATATCTTACTCCTTGATACTTATCAGTTTTCTGAATCCATAGTACCTTTGATTATCTCCATCCTTAGTGGCTCCAAAATTGGTGACCTCCTTTTGCTAAGAACCTGCAAAAAATGGTGGCAAAATCAAGTCAAAACTAACACTTAATATGTTAAAATTTATTAGAAGGAAAACAAATCTTATTTTAAAACACATGATGATGTGTCACTGATTTTGTTAACAAGAGATAGTATGGTAAGTGAGGAAGAAATTTCTTGTCATAATTGTCATCATCTCAAGCTGCCAAGACACCTTTTCATGACTCTACAATATCGCCTCAATTTTTAGCAATGTCCAACTTTTTCTTTTTAGCATTCATGCGTGTAACCCTCTACCATTTCACACCAATGCGATGAATGTCCAACATCCAAGTCCATATGTGGTGGTTGTGATTTATTCAAATGCTTATTCCACCAGTTGAGGTTATTTTGCTTGATCATCTTCAAGTTGTAGCCAAAAAAAGGGTGTGGAAACCTAATATATATGAACCTGTTTACCAAGTAGCTCAAAATAAAGTTAGGAGAAGATAGTTTTTTTCAACCACAGTGATACAAATTAGGTTCATTAGGCCATCTCAGAGTAATGCAGATATGAATATAAGAGTTGTATCCCAAAAATTAAGTACCTGTTATACACCTTTGAACAAAATTTGAAATAGTTCAAATCCTGCATATACAGATTCAGAGGTGAAACTATAATCTTATTCATTGCTCCTTAATACATATCATTTTTATGAATACATAGTCTTTTTTATTACCTCTATTCCCTGGCTTCATCATTTGTGACCTCTCTTTGCCGAGAAATTGCAAAAGTTTGTGGGAAAATCGAGTTTATAGACACACGTAATACGTCGTGCTTTAAAGGAAGGGGAGCAAATCCAGTTTTGAAATCCATGGATGTCTCATATTGTTAACAAGGGATAGTAAGGTAAGTGAGGAATAAATTCCTTGTAATAATTATCAAATTAAGAACAAATAGAAAAAATGCAGTCTCAGAAAATTATGAATTACCAATTATTCAATTACAAGCATGGAAATCTGAAACTTTGGACAAAGGACCTTTCATTATGTTATATGATCATCTGAGTAATGATCCTCCAATATGCTAGTTCCTTTTATGAGGAAGAAATGGTAGAACTTTTCCTAGAAATGGTAGGACTTTTCCTAGAAATGGAAGAACTACTGAAAATGAATCGTTATCTTATCTCCATGTATTCCGTAATTGAGAAGCCTTGCAGTGCATAACGAGCCAGGGAGAGCAACATTTGGTCAATTTGCAAAGGAGAAAACCTAAAACATTAATTTGTCTTTGACTATTTTTTGTTTGGCAAACCTTTTTAAGCTTGGCTCATAAGAGCATAAATTTGAGGTATTTGCATCATATTATCACAAATAGGCAATAACAAGTTGTAAAATCAATTCAAATCTAAAGAAGAAAATTAAATAGAGAGTAGGTGAGGGCTTATACCTCTAAGATTGACAATAAAATAAACAAAATCTGCAATAGAGAATCAAATGTGGCGGTTGATTCGACTTGTCGAGGTTATTTTGCTTGATCATGTTTGAGATGTAGCCAAGGGAAGGGTGTGGAAGCCTAATGTGAACCTGATTACAAAGTAGCTCAAGATAAAGTAAGGGATAAGCTAGTTTCTCAACATAGAGGCTACAAATTGGGTATAAGCAAATTTTTCAACAAAACAAAATACAAAATGAGTTAATTATACCATCTCTTTGAAAGGAAAAACTACTAACATTTTGTGTTTCTTTGTTACCTTCATGCTCTGCATAACGTTGAAGCCTTGCAATGCAAAATGAGCTAAGGAGATCAAGATTTGTTCAATTTGCATAAGAGAAAAGCCACAAGATAAACTTCTCTTTGATTTTTTTTGTTCGCCTAACCTCATTAAGCATGACTTCGCAAAAGCAATTTGTGAAACCTGCATTATTCTATCACAAATAGCCAATGAAAAATTAAAGTTCTAAGGTACCTGAAGAAAACAACATCTAAGATTGACTATAAAAGGAACAACATCTGCAATAGAGGATGAAATTTGGCAGTGGTAATTTATTTATATGCTTATTCATCAATTGAGGTTATTTTGCTTGATCACGTTCGACATATAGCCAGGGCAAGGGTGTGGAAGCTTAATATGAAATTGACTGCAAAATAGCTCAAGGCAAAATAAGAATAAGCTAGTTTTTCTACAAAGATGATGCAAATTGGGTTAATTAGATCATCTCTTAGTAATGTAAATATCAGTACAAGAGTTGTATCACAAAAGTTACATTAAGAGTTAAATACATATTTACACTCCTTTAAACTAAATTTCAAATCCTGCATAGATTCAGAGGTTAAATTATAATATTCTTATTCCTCACTCCTTAATGCCTATCAATTTTTTGAATCCATAGTGCTTTTGATTACCTCTATCTCCAGTGACCTTCATGATCTGTGACCTCCCTTTGCCGAGCAGCTACAAAAGTTTGTGGCAAAATCATGTCAAAACTAGCACATAATCGGTCAAGGTTTATCGGAAGGAAAGGAAATCCTATTGTAAAATACAGGGATGTCTCAGATTTGTTAATAAGAGATAGTATGGTAAGTGAGGAAGAAATTCCTTGAAATAATTGACAAATCAAGAACTGATAGAAAAAAATACAGTCTTGGAAAATTATGAATCACCGATCTTACAAAAATTCATTACTGTACAGACCAATAATTATAGAGTAACAAACAAGAAAAACTTTCACAAAAAATTTATAAGGATGGGACAACCAATTAGAATGTGGTAGGAAGCTCAGGGACTTGTCAGACATGCTGACACACTGTTTCATTACACCGTGATATCACATCAATCTCTGGCAATGTCCAGCTTTTTCTTTTTAGTATTTCATGTGCACAACCCTATACTATTTCACGTCCACGCGACCAATGTGTTTTAGTGTCTTATGAGTCAATGACCAATGTTGAAACCTTGAACCATGTAGTAACTTGCCAGATTAGTTGATTATGGCCATTGTCCTTGTTTGCGATTACGACAGATATGCTTGATTAGTCACCCAAATATGTGCCCCGATGACCTTTCAAGAACATGTGCAGAACCTACAATTTAGTAGTGGTTATCTGGTGAATAAGCTTCCACCGTTTATATATCAACAGAAATGGGCCTTGATCACACCCAAGAAAAAACATGTCCAATAAATTGACAGAGGTGGTGTGCTTGCTCTCCCGATGAATGAAAACTTTATGATGCAAATTATTGATCAAATGGTGGAAGCTTCCATGCATACAAGTCTAACCCACGACAAGAATTTAATATGATATATGCCTTAAAATAACACAAATCACTAAAACAGATAAATGTATTATGTTAGTATAAAAAATAAATAACTCGATTCCATTATAGCAATTTCATTTAACTAGTTTTTCCTATCAAAAATGTCTAGTTTTGTTTATTATATGAAAATAATAGAAATAAATACTTTTCAATATGGTTTTACAATAATATAAATTAGTTATATTTGCAATTAGAGGGAGTATAATTGTAATGTATATGACTGGAAAAAAGACAGGAAAATGGCCGGACTTGAATATGAAACGAATCTAAATTATAATTAACATAATACATTTATTATAATACCAATCTAGATAATATATCTTACCTCAACGAAGTTTCTAGAAGCCTAATAAGACCACTTTGGACCGTCCAACATGTAGGAACTCGCATAAGTGCACAAATCCTGCTGTTCAACAGATGCCACGTGAGAGGGTGTAAAAACATGACACCTACATAACGAAGGATATATCGGGAACTTTTGTCCATAAGATGACACCTAGCAGCTTCTTCATTGTCTCCTCTATACCAAAGAGAAAATTTTATTGTGAGATAAATATAAAGACAAGAAAAGACAAAAAACCGATTTCAAAGGAGAAACTTACATTGTGAGTTTAATGGAAAAACTTCAAGCAGCTTGATCTTGAACGTTTCTTGGTTATATCACAATACGTGAAATATGTGCAATGTTGAGCCATTTGGGGCCAAGCGCCTTGGCATATCTTTCCTTTAGAAGGGGACAGTTCTGAATCCTCAAACTCTCAAGCTTAGTGAGGTGCCGCATCGCTTCTCTAGGGAGCAGAAACTTTATAGATTCAAATCGGTCCAGAGATAGAGATTCAAGATATGAAAAGTTCTCAAACCAATCGGGTAAAGCTTCTACGCCAAATCCAGATAGTTCTATACTCTTCAGGACTGTGAGGTATTGAAGCTGCTCTGGAATGGAGTTCCAGTGAGGCCACCCACACAAGTATACATAACGAAGGGATGCCTGCAAGTGCTGGACACCTTCAAGACTGGGGAAAGAATTGAGCTCCTCCGAGAAAGGACCAACCATCAAGTTGACTAAGCGGGTAAGGCAGTGTAACCCCCCAGGCAAACGAGTTATTTTCTCACATGAAGTAATTTGTAAAGTGGAGAGAGAATGCAGCGCTTGTATATCTGGAAAGGAGATTAGATTATGACATGATTCAACCCGCAAGGTTTTGAGGGATGTGCAGGATTGTAGCCCACTTGGCAAACATGCTATCCCATCACAACTTCGAAGAGTAAAACTGTGAAGGGATGTGAGACCGTTGATGCTTGGAATTGACTTGAGAGCTGGGCAGCATTCTATCTCTAACGTTTTAAGCAAGCATTTGGAAACCATCTGGAAAATTGCTAAGTTTCTCGCAACAAATAATTGTTATTAATCGATGAAGAAAGGAACCCCAATTCCACACGTGCGGAGCATTTGTCAACATGGGACAGCCTTCTATCGCAAAAGACATAAGATTTTTATTGTTCTCCAACAACCCATCTGGCAGAGAAGAAAGCTATGATACATGTTTGATGTCGAGTTCCGTCAAAGTAGTTAATTTGCTGCATATCTTTTCTAATGCTCCGCCACTATTAACAGTATTATATCTCAATTCCTTAAGGCATGCAAAATGGCTTGGAGCACTTTTCAACTGAGGACAACAAAAAATCTCCAACGACTCCAGGCAAGGAAACACCGGTACTATGCTTGCGTCTGTTGCCTCCATCCACTCTTCTAGGTTTGGCATACAACACAATTTGATTATTCTCAAAGAAGGAAACAATGCCTCTGGCTCTTCCCCACTATGATTGGTACCTAACCGATTCCAATGATGACCATAAAAGGACTCACCTATGCATTTGATATTGTCCATCCTACACAACTCTAGTTCCCGAAGGAGCAGTAGTTGGCCGAGCATTGGGATTTGTTCACATCTTTTGGAATTGACTAACTTAAGCTTCACCAAATTGTTGAGTGGTAACAAGGCTCCGTCACCATCCATACTTACTGCCATCCTCATTGTCCATGATGGGAACTTATTACCAGCATATGAACTGATTTCTAAGCCTTTTAAGTATGGAGAAGGTTGGAGGCCTTCCAAGACACCCTCATCACTATTATTATCTTCCCTTAGCAGACTCCATTCAAATTTCAGGTTGTATATGTTTTCCTTACATGATAAATCTGCTTTGTGAGCTTCATCTCTACTACCGACGTGTTCGGGATTGCATAGCTTTAGGTTGCCCCGAAGGTTTTTTAAAAATCCTAGCTCTTCAATTAGACGGCCCTCATCTTGACCCACATTAAAAAATGGCAAAGTTTGCAGACAAGTTAACTTCCCCATCCCAAGTGGCATCTGGAGTTCTGGATTGTCATCAACATACAAATGTCTTAAGCTAATCAGATTCCTCAATTCTTTTGGGGGCTCCACAAAGGGCCAGATATTGAGTGCTGTTAGTGTTTGCAAATTGTAGAGCTTGGCAACAGATTCCGGAAAAACTCTAATTTTAGTGTTTGACAAGTCAAGATACCTTAAATGTACCAACGTGCTTATTGAGTTTGGTAATTCTTCAATATGAGCCCCACAAAAGTTCATGACTCGCAAACATCTAAAGTTCAAAAGCTTGTTTTCAGGTACAACACTCCCCAAGAATAATGTACGCAACTTTTTAGCACTTTCTTCCTGAATTGTATGAATTCTATCTCCATTATTATATAGTGCTAAATGTCGAACACGCGGAATCTCAACTCTCATATCAGTCTCTAGAGCAAAGCACTCAGATTTCGAAATAGATTGTGCAAGGTCATGGACCAAATCATGCATCTTACAATGTGTAATGATGCCATAATCATTCATCTCAATGTCTTGAAATAATGAATTTTGCAACAAAATGTGAAAATTATCGTTGCCAATATCCTCCATTAACTTACTACTTCCTTCCGGTGGTTGAAGAAATCCATGTGCCATCCATTGTTGGAAAAGTTGGTCCTTTTCCAAGAAGAAATTCTTCATAAAAATTGAGCAATATACAAAACATTGTTTTAAAGATGGGGATGGTAAATGATCAAAACTTAACTTAAATATTGGTTGGACTCCATTTTCATCTCCAACTCAACTCCAAACTCCATCGTTTAAAATTGACAACCACTCCCGTTTTTCCTTCTTGGAGTTCATCAAACTTCCCGTTTCCTTCGCTGCTAATGGCACACCATCACAATTTTTTGCAATCACTTTTCCTATGTTCTCCAATTCTAAGGTCATTAGAGGTCCTCCATTTGAAAATGCTTTTTCTTTGAATATGTACCAACAAAATTCTTCTAATAATTTTTTCAAATGATATGACTCAGGGATCGTCTCTACAATTGATGCCACTTTAGTGCTACGTGTAGTGACTAGAATGCAGTTCCCCTTGATTGAGTTAACCCTTTCCAGACAAGTCTTAAAATCATCCCACTTGGTATGATCTTCGTTCCACACATCATCTAGAATGAGAAAATATTTTCTCTCTCAACTCTTTTTGAAGTCTTTCAAGAATTGCATCCCTAGTCTCCACGCCACACTTCCTTTTTGTTTGAGATTCCAGGATCCTTGACAAAATATTTTTGACATCAAAATCATCAGATACACATACCCAAATTCTCAGATCGAACTGTTTTTTTATCTGATCACTATTATAGACCAACTTTGCCAAAGTTGTCTTACCTAAGCCAACCATTCCCACAATGGGAATAACAAAGACATCTTGTTCATTTCTCGGGCAAGTTATCATTTCAATTAAATTGGACAAATCATTTTCCCTTCCTACAACTTCTGAATCTTTAATGAATGAGTCAGTCTCTCGGTTTACCCTGACTTGAGCAGGAGTCATTTCTACAACACCCCTTTGGAATCCATACTCAGTCGCTTGTTCGTTGATCCTTTTTAAGGATTTGTTGATGTTGTTAAATTTATTAGTCATATTGGAACCGAAGACATCTGCTTTAGAAAGTGTAAAAAAGAAGAATACCTTTCTACTCTTTTGATTTTCACTCTCCACCTTACGCCGGAGACTTTCATAATACAATTCATCAACGACATCATCAGCTTCGTGGGCTATATCTTAAAGATTATTCAACCAGAGCTCAACAGACTTATCGCCAACTTGTCGTCTCTCAGCATCATCCAACACGGCTTGAATCATGATCAATGATTCTTTGAGCCTAGTCATTTCATCCTTGAATCCCCTTGCGAGACTGATCCCTTCTACTACAAGCGGAAGCACTTTTTGCAATAATAAGTTGATAATGGCAACCATTAGAGCTATTTCCATCCTTGTCAAATGAGAGACAGAGAGAGAGTGAGTGAGAGAGAGATGCTCGGAGAGACTTCACAGAGGATATGGCCTCATTCTTGCAATAAGATGATATAGTTCAGAGGAACTGTGGTTAGTTGACCAAATGAAAGAGAAGAAATTTTCTATGATGTCAAACCTTTTTGAATACGTCAGTCGACATATATAAAAATAGATTTGAATATGTCTTGTAAAGAATAATGTCTTTTAATATGTTTCTTTTGAGTCTAAGCCAATCAATAGAAAGTCATTAACTAGCAAGACTCCCACCAACTGGTTGCCTGCTTTTTTTTATTCCAAGCGGTACAATCAGGATTTGACTTTGGTATTGAAAAAATATGATACTAAAATTTTATAATATGTCGAGTTAAGATTCAAATTTTTAGTATCTACTTACAAGTTTAGAAATTACAATCGATCTTCAAAAAATTCTAACTTTCTTTGTCTATGGTACAATTTTTAAGATTTAAGCTACGACTTTTAGAGAGTCGAGCAATAATTTTTTAGGGGCTTGAAATTTATCTAAATGATCTTAAAATCTTAAGATCGATCACACATTTTTTGAAAAATTCTAAAAATGACTAAAAAAACTCGTATAAAATCACTTAAAAAGCAACACAATGTGGTCTTTTTTTTTTTTTTTTGTGTGGATACCATGGCATTCCCCAGTGCAATCATAATGTCAAATGAAATTTCTGGTGAGTTTGTGTCTAGCCAATACGATTTCTTGCTTGGCCTTCATACGATAATTCCTTCACGTCATGTACATATATATATCGTCCTCCTCGTGCCAAAAATAGAAAGTCAGAAAATAGTAATTGATGGGGTGTAATAGGAATTACCGTGGGAACAAGAAATTCGGTGACAACAAGACTCAAACATAAGACTGAAATTAATATAATAAGTCAACCCACATGAAATCAACAAGACATAACTCAATTTGGCGTAAGCCTTAATGAATTCGGATTAACACGGGTTGACCGAGCGTCCTATTTGAGAAATAAGTCGTTGCGAACTTGACTATGTATAATATGAATCCAACAATACGCGGCACAAACCCGACTATACATAATTATAAATAATTATGTATCGAATTTGATCCTAAACATGGTGACACATTCTCCAAAGAGTACTTTCTCCTCAACACAATTATTCGAAACTTGTAATAGTGGATCATTCATTGTACAGTAATCTATCAATGTATAGTGGGGAAAAAAAGACACAGTAAGCAAACCAATACAACCTCCGACCCTTTACCGCTCCGAAGTCGAAACTTCTTAGAAATAGGCTCAACCAAAGATACCACCAACCTTATAGTTGTCCACCAACACTCAGAAGATTCAAAGAGCAAACAATAAGCAGTAATCTGTTAGACCAGTAGTTGGAAACTCCCAAGAATTTTCATCAGCATTATTCAGCAATCCAGATGCTGCACAATCCTAATGAGTATCAGGAGCAACAACCTGCCGGAAAGTCCATCTGCAATCACTACTCACACCAGCACATACACAAGCCTGAAAACTGTGTTATATGAACAGAAAACATGTGCATCTTGCATATGGAACAGAGTAATGAAGTCGTGCATCCCTGCATTGCTGCGTGTATGTGCATGTGTGAAGAATTCCAACCCATTTATAGCCTATAGCAGCTACATTCATGAACCAAAACACAGTTCATGGTCTGTGCCTGTATGCATGCGCTTTGGGTTTGTAATCAAACAGAACAATCACAATGTATCCCTATACGATCTACTGCATAGGAGCAAAGACCTTGCAAGCTTAATAACAATAATGTGCACAATTATAGTTTCACGATCTAATAACTTCATGAAACAAACAACAAAATCGCAATGTATTCTATTGTTTGCATTTGTGCGTCAACTAGTCTAATGGTTATTGATGATGCATAAAATAGACTTATGCACAATTAACAGTCGAGTGTATGATTCAAGATAATTAATAAAGCAATTAATGAAGGAGACAAATATTGGATCAACACAAACAATACACAGATATATAATGGTTCGGTCAGGGTGACCTACTCCACTTTAATAGGTGAGAGAGAGAGAGAGAGAGAGAGAGAGAGAGAGAGAGAGAGAGAGAACAAGGGTATGCTCTTGGTAACTCTGAGAGAGATAGTTATATAGGGTTTTTAGAGAGATGCTCCTCCCATATGGAGAGGGCTTACAATTTATAGGTACAAAGCCTTAGTTGAGGCAGTGACGTGATGGGTAGGTGCCTAATTCTTCGGGGAGGATAAGTACAGTTAAGGATAAAACTAATTAAAGATAGTCTCAATCTCTAAGTAGTGGTTATACTAGTAATTACTCCGTACGTGCATTGATCCTCCTGGGTCTCTTAGACTTCTGGACTGAGCTAAACCCATGAGCTGAGCTTGACCTGCCTTTTGATGATTTGGGCCCAACCCATGAACTGGGCCCAGGCCTGGTCTAAATTTGGGCTCGTTCTTTGCCCCCATGCCCCAAGCCCTAGTAGTGATTGGGGGTTGAGGGCATGAGTGAGCTCCTTCCTTTGGGTAGAACAAATATCTTGTTTCATATGGTGGCTTCTTCAGCTATCCACTCCATTGCATTTTTGAAGCTCATTTCACCATTGTTGGAGAGAGGATAAAGAAAAGCATGGATGCTTCGGCGCGTGGAGATGAAGATGCTTTAGCGAGTGGCAACATGGATATGAACCTAGGCAATGCCAGGGAAGGCACGAGGCTGGGCGGTGCCATGGGCGACACCATGGAGGACCTAGGTAAATTGATGATATCTTTGGTTTATGAAAATTCTCTCTTTCTCATGTGATCCCATGGTTGATAGATCAATGGTGAAGACTCTCTACATAACTAGGATGGTGACTTCCCTTCTTCCAAAGAGGGCGAAGTCTGATGCCCTCAGTGCTTTCCAACGGAGATCTGATGCCCCTAGTGCTTTATAGCCAAGTTCTGATGGCTCTACTATTTTCGGAAGGCAGGGTTTGATGGTGTCCCCACTTCTTCTCAACATGTGACCCTTTGAGTCTTAGGGTTAGTCATAGCACTACATTAGAGATTGAGACTCTTGTGCAGACTTCCACTAAGACCAGAGCTCTGCATCATTGTCCTGCTTCCAATAGTGGCTCCGTGCCAATGATGCAGGACTTAAATTCAATCGAGGAACATCTTTGCTCTTTGGAGGTTTGTGACAACCTCGGATATTAGAGAGGTTGACTCTCGGGGTATTAAGAGTGACATGATACCACGATGCAGGGCTTTGCTATGGGACCCCTTTTTTCTGTGGAGGTCTTCTGCATATTTTGGTCATACTAACACCCTTGCTTTTGGATATTCGCAGATGGCTGCGGCTTTTCAATGTTTTTAAGGATGCTCAAACACGATGAGGTGTCGAGAGTTTTGGCAAAAAAGAGGAGAGCACGCTAGTCTGCTGAGGAGCAGTTAAGGTTGAGCACGTCTTAAGGCCGAGTTTCTGGAGACCAAGGCTGCTTGAGAGTAGAAGAAGGATTAGGTCAAGCTTTCTAGCGACTCGTGAGAGGGCACAAAGCTAGAGACATAGAATGTTTACGTCAGAGCAGAGACAAAGTTAGGTCAAGCTTTCTGGTGACTCGTGAGAAAGTGCAAAGCTGGAGATATAGACTGCCTACGTGAGAGTAGAGGCAGAGTTAGGCCTAGCTTTCTGGCGACTCGTGAGAAAGGTGCTAAGTTGGAAATTGAGGATGCCTGCGTGAGAGCAGAGACAGAGTTAGGCCGAGTTTTCTGGCAACTCGTGAGAGTGGTGCTAAGCTAGAGATTGAGCTACCTGCGTGAGAGAATAGGGAGAGTTAGGCTAGCTTTCTGACGACTTGTGAGAAAGGCACTAAGCTAGAGATTGAGGTGTAGGCGCCTCTGGGTCTTCCCTGGTCAAATTCAAGGATTCTAATTAGCTCAAGGATTAGAATTAGTTCAACAATGCAATCCATGTGAGGCTAAATCTTCAAAGAGAAGAGATGTTTTATAGATTGATTCTTATTCTTGTTTCCCGCTCAATTTTGAAATGTTCCTTTACGGGAAAAAATTCACACAAAGGATTACCACCTAGTACCAACAAAGATGATGACAAGGAAGTCTTGGTAAGCCTGCAAGACGAAAGAAAATCTAGGTGGACCGATGGCCAGAGGCAGACAAAGGGACTCCAATGTTTAAGTCAGTAAGCGAGTCGAAGGAAAAAAAAAGTAAGCAAGTCGAAGAAAAAGTATACGGTGAATAGGCTAGAATTCCATGACATATACTTGGTACCCTGAACCTTTATTTATAATGGTATAGGAAGCGGTGTTCCATATGGACTCGAATTCCAGGTTATGATAAGATAGACCCTATCACCAATCCCCTAGACATTTGAGGTAGAGTCGTATTTGGATGTTGGGTCCTATATTGTAGGATAAGATGTGCTCGCCAGGAGGTGTTGTTTATTAATAGTCCCTTGATACTCATAATAGAGTTTCAATAGGGCTCTAAGTTCTGGGTCACTTCTTAGCTAAGTAGTAAGTGGGCGATGGGCAAGGACAAGCAAAGCCAAAGGCGTGGAGGCGCCTTGGCTCTGCTGGCACGGCTCATGTCCCATAGTTCCAAGAAATCTCGATCGATTTTTACTTAGGGAGGATCGCTTAGGGAATTCATGAAAGACACCCTTGGAGCCTGAGGTGACAACAACGCAATGGGCTAGTTGGGCGACGCCAAGGGATGCTTGGGCTATTTAGAGATGCCAAATAACACCAGGGCTACTCTGGGTGGTGGTTTGAGCAACCCTAGGGAGGCTTGTACGATGCTAGGGTGGTTTGGGCGAGGCTTGGGAGGCCAAGTGGACACTTGGGACGCTTGGGCAACGCCCTTATAGAAATAGGTAGCACAGAGGCATGACGATGCTTGTGCACAAGCGATGACGCCAATAGGCAGTCGAGGCAGGGCGATGACCGTGCACAGGAAGCGGCGCTAGGGGA